GGGCACGGTTGCTGCTCGCAACGGTAGATGATAGTTTCAGGACCGTCTGGGATGTAGACGTCGATGAGGTCCTGTGAGTCGAATGCGTGGACTTGGCCTTGGCAGGCAGCCACGTTGGATGGGGGGAGGAAGGGGAGGTGCGCGTACTACGAAAGGCCGTGCTATACTAGCTTACACCTACGGCGCCCGAGATGACACTGAGATTCGCAGTTCACGTAGGGCCCAATACTGCTTTTGACTATTATGCAGCAGGAACCAAGGCTACGCGTCCGTGAGGACAAGTACCGCTCACTGAAGCGCAGGTACTGAAGAGTTCGTTTCTCAAGTGTTGGTGATGTATCGTATGTTATCTACGTATCGTAGGGTACAGTAGGGGTGCGCACCACCCAACCTATGGGAAAGGAAAAGTGAGTGTGTGGGGTTCCGAGGAACGCCGGCAGCTTTGTGGAGTTTCGACCTAATGTCGCGACTTGAGGTCTAGCGACGGGGGAAAACCTAAAAGGAGCTGGGGGCGTTCGACTAAGTCTCACCGAAGCGATGGTGAGCAATGCTCAAACCTAAGGCTAGGGACAAGATAGTATATTAGTTAAGTAAGCAAAGAGAATACAACTGGGGGCTTACTGACCTAGGGACAAGAGGTCGAAACTGAGGTCCCTAGGGCAGCAGAGGCCGGCTTATATACATGGGGAGATTAGGGCAGGCTGTGCACGTTGGTCCGTGCGCAGCTGGTCCGTGCACGGCATGCCGACGCGGCCCCGGGGGCCGGTGAGTCAGAGCGGCTGTGTCAGCGGGGCCCGAGCTGTGCCGTGCGCTGCCGCCCCATCTAATCTAATCGTACAGTAGATATGATGCGTCCGTATCAGGCAAGTAGTACAGAGGTCGCGGGTTCGAACCCGCAAAAAGGAAAAAATTAAAAAACGGCTAGACGCCGTGTCAACTCGTGACAGAACAACCGAGTTCACTCCGCGACCGGGCACTCCCCTTTCTTCCTGCATCAAGGGTACAACCCTGAGATCCAAGTGCGGATCAATCCGATGTCCGCAATGCCTGCTGCCGCCGACCGGCTTAAGATTCTGAAGGAGATTTGCAATGATATGCACTCTGCGCTTGAGCTGTCAGCCGAGCGTATGAAAGTGTACTACAATAAGCATGTGCAAGAGGCACTGGTCTTCGCGCCGGGGGACAAGGTCTGGCTTGATGCCCGAAACCTTAAGCTGAAACAGCCGAGCAGGAAGCTCAGTCCCAAGCGCCTCGGACCATATGCTGTGCGGCAAAAGCTCGGAGACTTGGATTACGAATTAATCCTGCCGAAGTCGGTGCCGGTGCACCCGGTATTCCACGTCTCCTTGCTTAGCAAGTACACGCGTAGCGATATCCCGGGCCGGGAGCCGGAGGAGCCGCCTGCGATTGAGGTTGAGGGCGACGAGGAGTACGAGGTTGAGCGGATCAAAGATTCGCGGATCTTCCGGCGTCAGCTGCAGTACCTCGTCAAGTGGAAGGGTTATGACGACTCGCATACATCATGGGAACCGGCGCGCAATGTTGCTAATGCACCGGCCCTCATAGCCGACTTCCACCGGAAGAATCCGAACGCCCCTCACCGCCTCAACGCTGCTACCTTTGGTGGTCTCAACTTCCAGCCAATGCCTTTGCCGCTGACTGAAGCACACTGCCGCTCTGGGTGGGAGATGGGCAAGGGTGCCTCGCATGAGGTCATGTGCCGTTGAGGGGGGGGGTAATATCACGAGTTGGCACGGCGTCTAGCCATTTTTTTAATTTTTTCCTTTTTGCAGGCTCGAACCCGCGACCTCTGTACTACCTGCCTGATATGGACGCGTCATTATCTACTGTATCATTAGATTAGATGGGGCGGCAGTGCACGGCACAGCTCGGGCTCCGCTGACACAGCCGCTCTGACTCACCGGCCCCCGGGGCTGCGTCGGCAGGCTGTGCACGGACCAGCTGCGCACAGACCAACGCGCACAGCCTGCCCTTATCTCCCCACGTATATAAGCCGGCCTCTGCTGCCCTAGGGACCTCAGTTTCGACCTCTTGTCCCTAGGTCAGTAAGCTTCTTTGTATCCTTTACTTACCTGTACTAACTGATACATTTCTTGTCCCTAGCCTTAGGTTTGAGCCTCGCTCACCATCGCTTCGGTGAGAACCAGTCGAACGCCCCTCGCTTCCAGATATTCCCCTGTTGCTCGACCTCAAGTCGCGACAAGAAGCCCTTGTTCGGCATTCCACTCCTCAAAACCCCTTTGCAGCCAGGGCGGCCCGAGGTCCTGCACCTTTTCAAGTGCCTCGGCCACCTCCTGATCTTTCTCTGAACATTCCCTGATGCGCTTCAGAAGCAACTGATCGGCCATCACCGAGGCATGACCGCGTCGGGCGGAGGTGATGCGGAAGCACTCTGGCTTGAGAACCACCTGATTGGTGTTATTGTCCTCATCGCCGATCTGATGGTCTGATCGATATGACAGGGCATCAGCCTTTCCATTCGATGTTCCAGTCTTGTGTGTGATGCAGAAGTCGAAGCGAGCCAGGAACAGCAACCATCGTGCTTGTCGACGCGTGAGATGCCGGGAGGTATGCCAATACTCGAGGTTCTTATGATCGGTTACGATCTCGAACTGATTGGGTAAGCCTTCGAGATAGTGGCGCCAATCGTCTAGCACCTCAATGATTGCAAGCATCTCCTTATCGTAGATCTCGTAGTTCCGCTGTGCTGGATCCATCGCATGGGATCTGAAAGCGATGGGATGCCACTTGCCGTCATCCTGCTTCTGCATTAGCACGCCGCCGGTGGCGTAGCCCGAGGCGTCAACCTCAATGCGCGTCTCTCGGTTAGGATCGTACAGCGCTAGGACGGGAGTTGTCGCGAAAAGCCGCTTGAGCTCGTCGAAGGCGTGCTGCTCCTCTTCGCCCCAATGCCATGGGTCGTTCCCTGTGAGCCGGTCGAGTGGTCGCGAGATCTTAGCGAAGTCTTTGATGAAGCGGCGGTAGAAATTGGAGAACCCCCGGAACTTCTGAACGTCTTTCTTGTTCCGGGGTACCGGCCACTCATTGATTCCTTTCAGCTTTGCGGGATCCATCACCACCTCATCGCCACCAAACACATAGCCAATGTAGTCGACCTTGGGAATGTCCCATTCGCATTTCTCAGGCTTCAGGAATAGATCATTATCCTGAAGGTGACACAGAACCTCGCATGTGACCTTTTCATGCTCCTCTTTGTTGGTGGAGAAGATGAGTATGTCATCTAGGTACACAAGGATCTTGCCGCCGACGATGAGGTCATGGAAGATCTCTTTCATCATCGCCTGGAAGGTCGCGGGGGAGTTGGTGAGACCAAAGAACATCACCAAAGGCTCGTACAACCCTCGGTTAGTCACAAAGGCCGCCTTTGTCGCGACAGAGGAAAACCAAACAAGGCGCTGGGGGCGCTCGACTTAGTTCTTACTGAAGCGATGGTGAGCTAGGCTCAAACCTAAGGCTAGGGACAAGAAAGTATATTAGTTAGTAGGGTAAGAAAAAATACAAAGGAGGGCTTACTGACCTAGGGACAAGAGGTCGAAACTGAGGTCCCTAGGGCAGCAGAGGCCGGCTTATATACATGGGGAGATTAGGGCAGGCTGTGCACATTGGTCCGTGCGCAGCTGGTCTGTGCGTAGCATGCCGACGCGGCCCTGGGGGCCGGTGAGTCAGAGCGGCTGTGTCAGCGGGGCCCGAGCTGTGCCGTGCGCTGCCGCCCCATCTAATCTAATCATACAGTAGATAGCGATGCGTCCATATCGGGCAAGTAGTACAGAGGTCGTGGGTTCGAGCCCGCGAAAAGGAAAAAATTAAAAAACGGCTAGACGCCGTACCAACTCGTGACAGCCTTCCATTTGTCACCGGCCTTGATCCGGACGTTATTGTATCCCCATCGAACGTCGAACTTTGTGAAGAGCGTGGCACCGCGGAGCTTATCCACCATTTCGGCTATCAGCGGCAGGCAGTAGCGATTTTTAACCGTGATCGCATTCAATCAGCGGTAGTCCTGCACGGGTCGAAGCGTCCCTTCCTTCTTTTTGATGAAGAAGAAGGGGGACAAGATGGGCGACTTCGATTCCCGTATGTAACCCTTCGCTAGTTGCTCCTTGAGGAACTTGTCAAGCTCCTCCTGCTCGTTGTTCGACAGGGGGTACACCTTCGAATGGAATGTTGAATAGCCGGGCACGAGTTCGATTGCGTGATCATACGGCTTCCTTTTGGGTAACCGTTCTGATGCTTCTTTGGAGAAGACGTTCAGGAACTCGTGGTACTGTTTAGGTACCGACTCCTCGGCGGTCTTAACGACCTTCTTTTTGATCTCCTCCTCAGCGAACAGCTGGGAGTACGTATGTCCTGCTGCGACGAATAGCTGAGGGGCACCGGGAAGCGTGATACCTTGCTCCCAGGCTTCGATCAAATCGGCCTCATCCCACTTTACTTCCGTTGGATCTTCTTCGGGTTCGAAGTCCGGAAGTACCTTACTCCGGCAAGCGCCTATGACCGACCGTTTGGACTTCGGCGAACGCCTGCGCGCCGTGGGCCTGACCCCCGTATCACGCGCAGTCGCTGCTTGCTCCATCTGGCCAGTCCTCCTGGCACTGCACGTTTCAGGGCATCGTGACAATTTGAGGGAGCCTTTCTCCCAATCAATTTCAGGGTTGTGCTCACGCAGCCAATCCAACCCAACGATTACATCCTCCGGACCGATGTCCGTGACCGTGAACACCGTCTTCTCGACGTGCTCTCCTATGTGCATCTGTAGCACTGCTACCTCCGAGATGCTTCCGTCTTTGTTGAGGGTGCCATCGATATTGTACAGCGGAATTGGGTCCTTCAACTTCCGCGTCTGCACCTTGTTTTCGATAACAAATCGCTTGTTGATAAACTTCGTGGTGGCTCCGCTGTCCACCATAGCGATTATGTCCTTGTGCTGTCTTTTCCCTTGGAGTCGAACTGGAATGTGAAAATGCTGGGACCCCTGGTCCAGCTCGTACACCATTGCAGTTGACAATATGTTATACTTATTACATGATACTCGCGGCCCGACGCGTGCGGCACAAAGCGCGGACCGGATCAAAAACCCTCCTCTTTCATCGCCCAATAGTGTTCGAGCTCCTCGCGCATCGACTTCACCTGTGCCATTAAGTCCGCCAGCTCCGATTGCTCGGATTTCGCTGAAGCGGCACTTATACTTGCCGAGGGTGATGTCGTGACAGGGGCGCTTGTCGCAGCCTGGGTGGATCCCGAGGCAACCGTAGCCCGCGCGTCGGCGCGTTTTGTATAAGGCTTGTCCTTACAGTTGGGGCACTCGAAACGTCGGTACCCTTGTTTCCCACAGCCGAAGCATGTGCCGGGGAAGTTTCCTTTTCCGACAGCCGCATTGATGCTGGCCGAAGCTGCGTGAGATTGGGGTGCACCACCACATGCCCCTCCGTGTCCTCGACCCCGCGTCGAGAAGAAGTTGTTCAGCTCGGGCCTACGGGCCCGGCTGATATTGAGGATCTGCTCGACCTCGGTGGCGCGCTTCTCAGCTGCTTGCCATGTGGCGAAGGTCTCGAGCTCGATCTTGCGGTAGACGCGGGAGGGGATGCTGCTCAGGTACTTGTTGCGTAGCTCCAGGTCCCCATACCCAGAGCAGTCCGCCGGACCTTTGAACAGCGCGGAGAACTCCGCAGCAGTGCATTTTTCGCGGACCGACTTGTCTGCGCAGAGTTTAGCTAGCTCTACCTGGGCCGCTGCCTCATCATCGAGGTTGCCAAAGCGGGCTCTGAACGCCGTGGCAAAGGCCGCCTTATTTGCGAAGGGGGTCGTTACTCCCTGAACACCGAGTTGCACGGATACGAGTTGGGCGAAATATGGAGTAGCCCAGGTGCGGGCGTCACCGTCAAGCAGGCTTAGTGCAACCTGCACCTTAAGTTCAATGGTGGTTAACGACGTGTTAACCAGCCAATAGATGCGAAGTTGCGACAGAAACCTGTCGCACTCGATGACGGTTTTGCCATCGTATCGGAGGGGGAGGAGGAGTTTCAGGGTGTCCTTATCAGGGGGGGACGCTGGTGAGGACATTACCGGCGATGAGGGGGACGGAGGACTGCCTGCGGGCGGAGACGGCTGTTGTGACTGTCCGCCGGGCGAACTTTGAGAGGAGCGTGTGCTCGAGCGGCCTCGCGGCAGTGACGGCGGTGGAGGCGACGGAGGAAGTCCGGTGGCGGGGTTACGTACGACAGGGACTGGCGTCAAGGAGGGGACTGTGGACAACGAGCTGGCCCAAGAATACAACGGAGTGTCGCGGGGCTCGGTCTTGGGAGGCCTTTCCAACCGCGGCCCCAGGGAGGACTGGGGGATCGCTTGAGGGGTCGCTGAAGGCTGTGCGACTGCCTCAGTTCCTCGAGGGAGATGGGGATCTCCTCGTGCTTGACCTGTACTGGTGACAGGCTGGGGGATGCGGGTGCCTGGCGAGGCAGGTCGAGATGGGACAGGAGTGACGTGACGAGAGGTAGATTGCAATGTGCCAGCATACCGAAGTGCTGGGCCGCTGGGATGCTGGACTCGTCGGATTGGTACGTAGTGCCCTTCGTCGGTGGTGATGGACCGTGGGGTTCGATTAGGGCACGGTTGCCGATCACAGATGAAGAAAGGGGCTAGGTTGCCATTGCTTCCTAGGTCGTCGCGAGAGACGTCGACCTGCTCCTGGGTGTCGAAGGCGTGCTCTAGTCGAGAGCAGTCGAAGAATTCGTCAGCCACGGTGAGGGGGGGAGGAAGGGGAGGTGCGCGTGCTACAAAAGGCCGTATAAGCTAGCTTACACCTACGGCGCCCGAGGTAACACTAGGGTTCGCAATTCACGTGGGGCCCAGTACTGCTTTTGGCTAGTATGCAGCAGGAACCTAGTCCATGCGTCCGTTAGGACAAGTACCGCCCACTGAAGTGCAGGTACTGAAAAGTTCGTTCCCTGAGTGGTGGCGATGTATAGTACGCTTATCTACGTATCGTAGTGTATAGTAGGGGTGCGCACCACCCAACCTATAGGAAGTGAATGTGAGTGTGTGGGTCCCGATGGAACGCCGGCAGCTATGGGGAGTTTTGACCTAATGTCGCGACTTGAGGTCAAGTGACAGGGGAAAACCTAGAAAGCTGGGGGCGTTCGACTAGTTCTCACCGAAGCGATGGTGAGCAACGCTCAAACCTAAGGCTAGGGACAAGAAAATGTATTAGTTAGTATGAGTAAGAAAGTGATACAAAGGGATGCTTACTGACCTAGGGACAAGAGGTCAAAACTGAGGTCCCTAGGGCAGCAGAGGCCGGCTTATATACATGGGGAGATAAGGGCAGGCTGTGCGCACTGGTCCGTGCGCAGCTGGTCCGTGCACAGCATGCTGACGCGGCCCCGGGGGCCGGTGAGTCAGAGTGGCTGTGTCAGCGGAGCCCGAGCTGTGCCGTGTGCTGCCGCCCCATCTAATCTAATCGTACAGTAGATAGCAACGCGTCCATATTGGGCATGTAGTACAGAGGTCGCGGGTTCAAGCCCGTGAAAAGGAAAAAATTAAAAAACGGCTAGACGCTGTACCAACTCGTGACAACAGGCAGAATGATTGGGCCAAGCAGTTGCCGCTCGTGGAATTCGCACTGAACAACCGAGTTCACTCCGCGACCGGGCACTCCCCTTTCTTCCTGCATCAAGGGTACAACCCTGAGATCCAAGTGCGGATCAATCCGATGTCCGCAATGCCTGCTGCCGCCGACCGGCTTAAGATTCTGAAGGAGATTTGCAACGATATGCACTCTGCGCTTGAGCTGTCAGCCGAGCGCATGAAGGTGTACTACAATAAGCACGTGCAAAAGGCACCGGTCTTCGTGCCGGGGGACAAGGTCTGGCTTGATGCCCGGAACCTTAAGCTGAAACAGCCGAGCAAGAAGCTCAGTCCCAAGCGCCTCGGACCATATGCCGTGCGGCAAAAGCTCGGAGACTTGGATTACGAATTAGTCCTGCCAAAATCGGTGCCGGTACACCCGGTGTTCCATGTCTCCTTGCTTAGCAAGTACATGCGTAGCGATATCCCGGGCCGAGAGCCGAAGGAGCCGCCTGCGATCGAGGTTGAGGGCGATGAGGAGTACGAGGTTGAGCGGATCAAGGATTCGCGGATCTTCCGGCGTCAGCTGCAGTACCTCGTCAAGTGGAAGGGTTATGACGACTCGCATACATCATGGGAACCGGCGCGCAATGTTGCTAATGCACCGGCCCTCATAGCCGACTTCCACCGGAAGAATCCGAACGCCCCTCACCGCCTCAACGCTGCTACCTTTGGTGGTCTCAACTTCCAGCCAATGCCTTTGCCGCTGACTGAAGCACACTGCCGCTCCGGGTGGGAGATGGGCAAGGGTGCCTCGCATGAGGTCATGCACCATTGAGGGGGGGGTAATGTCACGAGTTGGTACGGCGTCTAGCCGTTTTTTAATTTTTCCTTTTCGCAGGCTCGAACCCACAACCTCTGTACTACCTGCCTGATACAGACACATCATATCTACTGTACGATCAAGATTAGATAGGACAGCAGTGCACGGCACAGCTCGGGCTCCACTTACACAGCCGCTCTGACTCACCGGCCCCCGGGGCCGCGTCGGCATGCTGTGCACGGACCAGCTGTGCATGGACCAGTGCGCACAGCCTGCCCTTATCTTCCCCTGTATATAAGCCGGCCTCTGCTGCCCTAGGGACCTCAGTTTCGACCTCTTGTCCCTAGGTCAGTAAGCCCCTATACCTACTTACCTCTCAAATACTAACTTACTTGTCCCTAGCCTTAGGTTTGAGCACTGCTCACCATCGCTTCGGTGAGATTTAGTCGGACGCCCCCCACTTTCAGGTATTCCCCTGTCGCTTGACCTCAAGTCGCGACATTAGGTCGAAACTCCATAGCGGCCGGCGTTCATCGGAACCCAAACACTCACATTCACTTCCTATAGGTCGGGTGG